CCCCCGCCTGCCTGCGACACTGCCCCCGGACCAGGCAGACACCCGCCATGCGCTTCGTCCCCTTTGGCGTGAGAAACCAGACAGCCCCCAGGGCAGCCCCCGTCCCGCGGCGGGGCTCCGGTGCCTGGCAGAGGACAAAGGCCCCTTAGTCCCTCACCGTGAGCCTCCCCTTTGGCCCAGCCACCCCACAACCAGGAGGACCGATGCCGCTAGAGGGAAGCAGCGCTCTCCCGTCAATTCCAGGAATCCTGATTGAAAAGGAAAAAAGGGGTGAACCCCCCCCCCAACCAAACCCACTGCTCAGGGGGTTTCCCTGGCTCCCAGAGGAGCCGCCTTCTCCTGAGGCAGCCCCGTCCTGTCCCCACCATGCACCCTCCCTGGTCCCTCTGATGTGACGCCGCTGGGCCCAGGAGACTTCATTACCCCCCAAGCCACATCCTCCCCGACAGCATCTCAGGATGAAAATGGTGCTGAACCCCCCTCCTTTAAGGCCCAGCAGATCCCAGGAGCAATCACGGAGCATCGCGTCCCCTCCGCGAGCTCGGAGGGTCCCCCTTCCCCCCCTGCTCTGCTCCAGATGGGGAAACTGAGGCACAGAGCTGCTCAGCAGCCCAGCGATGGAGACTCCTGTGCCGCAGCGTCCCGGCTGCCTGTGCTGCCCTTTGAGTGCGGTGATAGACGGGGGGCCTAAAAGTGAGGGCACGTCCCAGCGTGCCCGGGGTGGCCGTGCTGGAGCAGCTCCTGCCTGGGAAGGTCCCCCCCTCCTGGGTCCCCTGTGGCATCCTGGGGTCCCCGGCACAGCTGTGCGGACAGATGTGCTGTAGAAGCCCTGTCCTGTGTCTGGCAACACTCCTTCCGAGGCCACAAAAGCTCTTTTGTGCCTCGGCAGTGCTGGGAAGCGGATGCCGAAGAGGACCAGGATGAGGTGAAGGTGTTCAGTGTCGGCCAGACTTGCCGGGGACCCCCTGAAGCCCAGCTGAAATGGGGGTGCCCCAGGGAGCCACGGCCAAGCCCTAAAAGCTGCCCTGAGCAGGACCTGGCCCTCCTTGCGATCATTGTTCCCAAAACCCTGAGTCACCGCAAACTGATTTGGGGGCCAGATATCCTGGCAACCCTCAACTGCAGCAATTGGGAAGTGTAAAGCTGAATTTTGGGTGCTCCTGCGCCCGCCCTCGGCCACGTGCCTCCCTCCAGGGATAAACCCCGGGAGCATCTGCCTCCGCCTCCAGCCCAGCCGGCCGGATCAGCCCCCATCCCCGACACTGTCCCGGTGCGTCCCCCCGCCAGCCACTGGGCTTTCCCCCAAGGATGACTTTGTCCCGGGAGGCTTCTATCTACTTGCATCTAATCCAATAACATCCTAATTGGTGACAAAGCCGCGGCTATAAACACTGAGAGATTTATTCCCTTTTGATGTGAGATTCACGCAGGGCACAATTCAATCATTAAACTCAGGATTTATGGAGCCGGGGGTCGGGGCTTTGCACCCCCCTGCCCGGGATTGCCCCGCGCTTTGCATTTCATAGCGACCGTTGCGGGCGTGTTTGCTGCTGGGTTTGTGCAGCCCCCTTGCCTTTTCCTCGCCGTGTAAAATGAGAGTTTCCCATTCATGCAAAAAAGGGAAAAAGGCTCGTGGCAATGGGGATTTTTGGTCCAGGGCCCGGGTTTTAGGGTGGGAGCCCCAGGAGCCGCCGGCTTGGAGCCGGTGACACCCGCATGGCAAAACCAGAGGAAAATGGGTCCTTTGTGTGGGGAATATCTGGTGGGTGATTCAGCCAGGGCTGACGCCGGTGGTATGGGCTGACACGCTGCTTGGTGGCGTGGGGGGACCTGACACGTCTCCCCACCGCCCGCCGAGACCGTCCCTGGCTTCGTGGGCTGGGGGATGCGGCACAATGCCTTGGTGGCTGGTGACTCGACGGGTTCGGGATGGAGGCGAGGGGCTGAGCAGACCCGAAGCAGCCAGGAGCATCCTGTGCCCTGGGGAACAGGGCGAAGGTGGCCTGGAGATGCACCCCGAAAGGAGATGCACCCCAAAACAGCACCGGGCTGAGACCCTGCTGTCAGGCGATGGCAACGAGCTGCGCCCCTTGCTTGAGTCTTTTAACGAGGCTGCTGCCGTCCATCACGTTTCAGGGGGACATTCCTCCACAGGGCAAAGAAACGGCGGCTTCAAGAAGCGGCTCATTGTCCTCGGGCGGCACGGCCGGGGCCGAGCAGCCTGGCACCACGGCACAGGAACAAAAAGCCTCCTCTTCTCCAGCCCTCCGCAACCGGGCGTCCCTGGACGGCGCTGCCCCCGAAAAATTTATGGCATGAAGTTTGCAAACTGCAGAGAATCCGAGCACTCGGCGGCCGGTGACCCCAGGGACACGGGGCCGTGAAGGCAGGCGTTGATCTGCAGGGATGAAGCGGCAGAGCCACCCGAGAGGAGAATGGCTTTTGGCAGAAATGGGGTTTTCCAACCCAAATCATAGGTTTGGTTCACACACGGCGGGACTGGGCTGATGCTGCCGCCCCGTTCCCACCCACCTGGCCCCGCACAGGGGTCCCAGCCTGAGCCCCGGCGGCTC